TCCTTCCCAGAAACATCGCAAAGACGAGTTTGTTGAAGAAGTTGCCATTGTTTTGTTTCTGTTCAAAGTGCCGGCTTGCTACCTCACTGTATGTTGAATCACGCTGTAGATACTTTGCTCGTTAGCCAATCACATTATAGACTTCAGTACGCCATGGTTGGTTTCTACTCATATCAAGCGGACTTGGCATGCAACTCTTTTTTCTGGAAAAATGTCTGCAGCCAGTTCAGATGTGGAAGTCTAGCTGGAACACCGTCAAAGGAACTGGGCAAATTTCTTTTTCATATATTAAAACTGCAGTTTAATCCATTTTCATATTTTCATGTTTTTTACTTTTGATTTATTTTCATCTTCCCATGTTTTCGTAAGAACACCCAAGCCTCGACGGACATTTTTGACTTATCAATAACTTTTAGTCAGATATATAGTTTGCAGAATTGTAAACCTCATTAGAAGGTTAGAACTGTTGGAGGTTTAACGTAAATGTAAACAGATATGAAGGCTACATATGAAAAAAAAAAACAAAAAAAAATTCGTTTGGTTTAATTTTGTTCGCAAATTTTGAGTAGTGACCACATTACTGGATAATTATGAAGCCCTAACACAGCGAGTACACATCAACGATCATTTGTATTTCTTTCTGGTTATCCCCGATTAAATCATAGTTGCTCTCGCTGGCGTGGGGAGTGAAATGTTTCTTCAGTTTATCGAAACACTCAAATTATTTTTAATGATCGAGAACACTGCTCCCGGGTTTGTCGGTAACAGTTTAATAAAATCGCGAAGATCAACCTTCTGGCTTACTAAATTTGCTTAAAAATTAAATTGACAAACTGTTATCGTCTTTTAAATTATAGAGTCTAAAACATGGGAAATCACGTCTTGGCACAGTTAGGCCGACATTACTGAGTTTTCAGCACGCCTACAACGTTTTATAGAAGAATGTAAAATAAGTAGAGTTTTTGTTACGATTAAAGCTTCAGGATTGAAATTTTGCAAACCTGACTAAAATTGAATTCCATCCACAAAAATATGACCCAATTTTCATAGTAAAGCAATCAGTAATGATAGCTGCATTAAATAGTGAATTCAGTTCCTTAAGCTTCTAGATGCCGGCTACTTACAGTTGCTTGGAAGGGAGCGCAGTCTTTTCTACCGCTATGCTGAGATGAGTTTAAAATGCTCCTTCTTGCTGTGTAGATAATTAAATGATATTTAAACAATTCTTCGATGCAGTCTCTAATTATATGTCAAGCTGTCAACTTAGAAAGGCCTAAAACCCTCTCAACATTATTACGAGCTGACAACGACTGTTGTGAATAATTGTGTTTTGATTGTAGGTCTTCTCGCGAACTGAAATTCAGAATCCACTTGGAATTTGAATAAGGCCAGTTTCGCCTACGTTTCCATAGAACAGGGGAAGCTGAAAAAGCTCCTCTTCAATGGCAACGCGACTACGTTCTGGTCATCCTGACTACTTGAATGTTGCATATTATGTCTTATGGAGTCGAGATCCGGTCTTAGTGACCACCGTTTTTAATGAAATAAAAAATGTCCACAAACGGAGTCAGCGTTTTCTTTGAAATATCTGTTCAGAGAAGCAAATATTGCCTAGATTTTCTATAATTGAGGAAAGCTTAAAAATTTCTAGATGACCGTCCCATTCATGTGGTACAATTTTCGAAGCTTATCGAAAAAATTCCCTGCGGTTTTCTGATTTAATTTTTTACATTTCACTCCCCCGGCCGGGTTAGACTATTTTTCGTAGAGAAAATGTTGCCCATGAGGAGTCGAAAAAAGATGTCAATGAACTTTTAGAAAATTAAAAAAATCATACCTGGTTCCTGGTCTCTTTGTGGCACGATGGTTATATTAAAAGCGAAGTGTCCTTAAACCTAAACTGCAAGTAGATAAAAGCATCACTGATTTGAAGTCATCTAAATTGCACCATTCGTAATTAACGATTAGTGCCTCGTCAACTGACATTTGCAAAGTAAATGAGGTGCGTTTGACATCTTATAAACACCGCAGTCTCTCACTTCACAACTTCTTAGAGATTTAGGTTCATTTGTTAAGTATCGTATTTTTCTCCTTAAACGTTTTGGCCCATTTCGTAAACTCGCTTCGCAATGCCGGAGAATCAAGTTGCAAGACGTTCGCCTTATTTCGTAATGCACTAAGGAGAAAACGTCAGTAAGATAATTATTACATCTCAAAGTTGCTTACTCATGTTTGCATTGAGAATTAAATTGGGCTCAAACAACAAAATTTTTTTGCCATCTTGCCTGAAGCACACTGACAGTGAGCGGAAAAAAGTGTCAACCCATTGTAACTTATGTTTGCAAAATATTAGTAGTGAGGTCAATGAGAATCAAGTTGCCCTAAAGGACAGAAAATTACTTTTCTCTTTGACAGTCATTTGTTTATTTCTTTTTGTACCGGCCATTGTGTTCAATTTTTCTTGTGACGACCGTAATATCCAGGAGAAGTTGGAAACAATGGTTATGCAAAATTTTGGAGGTAAACAAAGTGCATTATAGGCAACTTGAAAATGGTCAATTGTTGATAGTCTGAACTGGTTTGCCTTAACTTCGGTAACTTGGGTTTCTGAAACCAATATTATGCTTCATCTTAATTATTTGCTCATCCTCATTACCCGTTGCAATATAAATTTAAAGTCAAATATAAACACTGTCGAGGGCGAACAAATAACTTATCCACCATATGAAACACCGCTGGGGAAAAAACATATTAAATGCGTTATTTGGCTTCGTCTCATTCAAAAATAATGTCTTTTCTTTATAAGCTGGGTCACACAAAACTAATTTACTTTATTGTATGCGCCTTTTTTTAATTAACGCCCCGCCAAAAGGCATCGCTAACGAGTTAGCTCGAGTTGCAAATGATTTGTATACTTTCTCAGATGGTGTCGTTTATATACTAACGTCAACTTACGTAGGCAGCCTGCAAACATGGCATTTTCTTTTCTTTGTTTGATTTCAACGTCAACTTCAACTAAAGTTAAGAATAAACGTTTAACAATCTACTGGTCCGCATGTAGCAGTGCTAATCCATTATCATCCGTCTTCTCAACAAAATTGTTGCCTCTTTCTAAAATATCAACAAGCAATTCGTGAATGACGTGAAGTAGTTTTGTGAATTCACCATTTTCTCGCCCCATGTAAGATCATGTAGGGGAATCCGGAAAATCAGGAATCCTGGGCTTTGGAATCCGGAATACAGCTCAAGAATTGCCGGAATCCGGCGGGGGGGTGGGGGGAGGGGTTTCGAGGGGTTCGAATGAACCCCCTTTGCTGGTCAATGATGGAGGACTAAAAACACAAGCTGTTAATTTTCAGCTTTTAGCAAATAGTGAAGGAATGGAAAACAAACTTTGAGTGTTTTAGCTCAGTTTAAGTTACCCTGCAAGAAAACGATAACAGTATCGGGAAAGTCCACCCGAGGACGATGCAATTGCACAGTTTGCTTTACGAAACGGAATAGTCCTGATGTGAGTTGATAATTAAGTAGCCCATGTTGTGGTCCCAGTATATCCCAAGATATTTCCTTAACAGGCGTTCCGGATTTGACAAATGGAGTCTCGAAAAACGAAAGGCGGGGAATACGATTTTGGGGGACCTAGGTGATACGTGTTTAATACATATTGACGTTTGACGCTGCTTTCAGTACAAAGACAGTGGGGCCGGGGAACTGGGGGAGCTTAAGCTTTAGCTCCGAGATACCTTGCAGCAAACGTCGAGTTTTGTCAAACGTTTCGTGTACTTAGCCGGTATGTATCACTATGTAAGAATGTTCCAAGTCAAAAAGAAATATCATTGTTATGACTAAAAATACCTGTTATTTTAGACTTGATCGAGTTTGAAATATTCACGTGGAGACTACTGAAAATAGCATTTGCAGGTTTCTGGATTTCAACATTTTCTGGGGGAGTAATTTGCCCCCAGAGACCCCTAAAGGCTTACGCCTTTCGCAGTATTTCCCGCTGTTAAGAAATATTCGTATCAGTACGAACACCCTTTCTCAAACCCCAGCTACGCGCCTGGTGTCCCACTAAGAGAGGAATCAAGAATCCAGGTTCCGCTGACAAAGACTGCAATCCAGTACCCTGAATCCTCAATCCACGGCGTGGAATCCAGAATCCAAGACTGTGTCGGATTCCCTCACATGCATGAGGCGAATTTTGACAGAGACCATAATACACCTTGTTTTAGCCCGCAAAATTTTACATAACCAGTTTCCGATTTCCCCTGGGTATTACAATCGTCCCAAGAAAAATCGAATACGATCTTTATGCAAAATTTTGGGGGGTAAACAAGGTGCGTTAGGTAATGTGAAAATGGTGAATTCTTTTTCTGAAGATCTCATATTAATATTATCTTAATATTATTAGTTGGAATGATATTACCTTATCATGACAGAGTTTTAGGTCAAATCGAGAGAACGGATTTTTGTGAATCAGCCTTGGCCTTTAAACCCGGCGACCATGGGTAGATGGTCGTGTTGCACTCCCGGGGGGGGGGTACTCCCTTATATAAGCCATATTATGATATAGGTATGTGCCGCCCTATTAGAGATTTATGCGGTGGATAGCGCTATCCATCTTATGAACAACTGGGGCCTGTTTTTCTTCGTCCAAGTGAATTAACTCCTTTATTTTAAAGATTCCTTTAACTTGACAAGAAAAATAAATGAATAAAATGAAAAATATTAAAGAAAGGAGAAGGAAACTAAGTTGAGATTCATCCCTTTGAGTAAGTTCCCTCCCGCTGACCAAACCTTTGTTATTCTCAAGAAATAATCTACAGTTTTTCTGTGATTCTTTTTTCAAGCTAATGAATAAGCTTCTATTGACAGACACAATGGAAAATTTAGGTCACGAAGAAAATCAATCACAAAATCATTTAACAAAGACAAACCATTTTATTAACTACACTTATGATTCACAAGGCCCACATACCTACATTCAACACATTTATGTCAGTTCTGAACAGCCTTTATATACATAAATGCACGGAAACGAACTTGCACTCAAAAGCGCTAAATCTACAAAATCTTAGGCTTCCATCATAAATTTGAGGCAAAAACTAAGATTTCCTTGTCTCCCAAAGGCTAACGAAAGTTATCAAAGGCTTTAAACAACCCGCTGATTATAAGTTCTGAAGCTCCAGTGATTGTCTAAGTTCGTCTAAGTCAGCGTTCGTTTCAATATTCAAGAGAAAACTTAACTGCTAAGTGGTATGACTAACCCACTTAAAGCCCTTTCAAACTGGTTTCTAATGACAATTTTCCAATGTTCTACCAACAAAAATTGACATTCTATACATGACATACACAAAAAATGTTATACCCTGTAAATAGTTTTTTTCCTTTCTGGGATAAATTTGCCAACAATTCAGATACTAAAAGTCCAAATGTTTCAAGCTAAAGGGCTGCTGTTGCAGCAAACAACTGGCTATTTAATACCACAACCAGAATGAAGATGGTTTGAGATTTTTAGCTTAAAACTAAACAGAGAAAACACATGATTACCTGTTTTCCTAATGTGCAAAGCCTTCTTTCAGCTTACTTGCTTCCCTGAAATGGCATTGTGGAATCAAAAACAAGGCAGCTTTGCTTTGTTGGGGCAAAAGAACTTCCTGTTTACTTATAATGACAATTCACATAATATCATTATACATGTATGAGTAAATACTCTTAATCTACAAGGTTTAGTATTCACAGCCGCAAAATTTCTCTTGATTTTGATTCAAAATCACTTTTTGAAAAAGTGACTGAATGCATCCTAGAAGCTACCATACTTTAAGTCTCTTCTACTTTTGCCTATAAAATACAGGACAAAGAGCCAAAAAGAGCCTGGCCTGCATAGCAGGCGCTTGGAAGAAAGAAGGGGTGCACAAGAGGGAGACATGCTCTCTCTCCCCTCGCATGTCTCTCACTCACACCCCCGTTCTTTCTTGCACCCACTACTTCCAAGCGCCTGCTAAGCAGTTTAAAAAGAGCCAAAACCTGCAATCTACACTAGCTTTTTCAACACAATAGTCGTCCCTTGATATTCACCCTTAGTATTATGTTAACAAAAAAGAAATGGCTAAATTGCCACTACAAACATTCAAAAGGCCTCGGGTTTTGTTTGAAAAGGCTGGTGTACTGTTACCTTAGCACAAAACTGTGCATCAGCAAAAATAGATAACATACGATGGAGGGTGATGGGCAAAAGAAAACAGGTACTGGTATTCGCAGGTAACATGTATGTGACACTAGATAAAACACTAATTGTCCTTTCATAATAATACTTGCTTTCTTGTGAAACAAACTGACATGTCCCTTAAGGCCTTTTTTAAATGCATTCCTTTAATACTGCAAGTACCAGTAAGTTGCATTCTTTTCATTAAGTGTAAAATATTATTTCAGGAAGTTGGCCATCTTCAACAGAGGTTCCATTATTATTTCCTGTAGCATATGAAAACTGGAAAATAATTTTCTCTTTCTGCTCTGTTTCATAAATGACTTTCTTTCCCCCTGATGTGCCATAATGGGAATCAGGTCCTTTGAGGGTTGCACATGCAGTGTAACTAACTCCGGAGAGAATCTCCACAGGCTCCTTAAACATGACACGAAACGTAGAGTCGCTGCCATCACTGCTGAATGCTGTGTCATTGTGACCACAGATTTTATTAGTGTCAGTTGCAATGATTTGAATTGTTACCTGATAGTCACTTGGACCATACATGGACCCATACAAGCCAAAGCCCACCACAAAGATGCGACGATTACAGGTGAATCGTATCCTGTCACTGGTGCCACTATAACCCCAGCGACTTTCCACCTTTTGAAAGCGACAGATTACCTTTTCTTTGCCAGTAAGACAGCAGCGTGGCCTGTCAAGAAACTGGACCTGTGGTTTAGGGTTGACAGTGAAATGAAGGAACATGCTGACCACTTCCTTATCTGTTAGGATTCCAGACTGTGCAACACTAACAGCAAACTCTTCAATACTCATCAGAGGAAAACGAATCATGTACAAGGCTCTTGACAGAACATTTCTAAAAGGAGATAAAGAAACAAATAAACGGCATTATTTTTAATATAATTATTGTAACCCCAGCCAAATTACAGTCGACCGAATTTAGCATTTTAAACCACACTCATGGTACTCATATATGAGATCATTTGCCCAGATTGGCTTGGTTTTTTGAGATCATACGCCACCACTATTTTCTCTGCTAAAATTTTCATGTTTTCAATGAGTTCATAGGTCAACCCAACTATGAAAGAGACGCAACAGGGTACTGTTCTATGTTTGTGAATCATACAGTATGCTCTTGAAATTACTGATCCTACATGTAGCCATATGCAGGACACATGTTAAATTTGACCTTAGTGCATGATCTCCACAAGTCTCTCCATAACTCAGTGGATAGCTGAGCACCCATCCACTATTTGGAAGCTCATAGGTTTGAATCCTGTCTGGGACTCAAGATTTTTCTATGTCACGCTTGTAACATGCTGAGGATCACATCATTGTTTTATAGTCACGAAGCTCATAGAATTGAAGGAAAGTGAAACACAAAACAACACAGAACAAGGCTCAACGTTTCTAGCATGAAAAAAACTAACATTGAGGACACTCCTGCCAGCAGTGCCCTCCTTTTGCTTGTTCAATTTTGACATTCTCAAGAAAGAACCTGCAGAAATCAAATAAGGTCTTTGTTGAGCATGCAATTCATGTTGCGAGGATACAGTTTTAAACCCAGGTCTAAAAAACCAATACTGTTTATAATCTGACCTTTTATTTTCTGAGGTGCTTGGTATTCTCCTTCTCTGACACTCATGCTCAGCCCAGCGCAAAGCTGCCGCGAAGAGCTGGTTTTCACGAATCGAGAGAGTATCCCTTTGCAAAACAACACAGAATGTGTCAAAATCAATGTCTGTGAATCCCTCAGCCGCAAGAGCTTCTGTAGTGTTCTTATCAATGCATTCAAGGCAAAGGGCAGCTAACTGAGGCTCATCGAATAATCGAGCCTGACTGAGCAACATAAAAGCATTGTCAGCACTCAAATTCTTTTTCAAGAAATCCACACAGGCGTTCTCTAACGTTGGAACCGCGTATTTCTTGGCCGTGTACAGAGTCGTCATCACTGTCTCTGGTCCGATTTGCACCTCGTCTGTATACAGGAAGCGAAGTAATGACTGGAAAGCGGAATATTCAACGTCGGGCAATTCTACTTCGTCTGACTGGGCCGAGATACCACCATTGAACATAGCATCGAAAACAGCACTTCTTACAGCCAGTACAAACTTGTGAGCCGGTATCCGTCGCCTTTGAGTACCTTTTCCGACCATAAAGTGTACATCGCTTAATATTTCGTTATTAAAAAGGAAGGAAATTGCATCTTGAACTGAAGGTTTTTCCGCCTGCCAGTTGTATGGGGATGAGCTCATTTCGCAAGATATATATCATACCAAAGGTTCTGCAATCTGGACAGAGAAGAATCTGATAGAGGTAAAATAGAATGATTGTTTGCTGTGAAATGGGAATTGAAATTTTGGCCTCGAGGTATGCATACTTACCCTCCGAATGCCGAAAGCAAAACACATCCGATCGCGACTGTGTTGGAAAAAAAGACCATAATATAAAGGTAATTCTTTCACCAAAACATTTTATAATACCCTTTTTGATTGGCTAATTCTAAACTCAGCCTCAATCATCCAATCACAATGATTGTTTCATCCACGTTGAAATTCGATCAAAATGGCGGCGCGAGGTGAATGTACTTCGTCGTTAATCTCAATAAAAGAGTTCAAACTACAGTTTCAAGAACTTGATCTGGAAGAGATGGCGGGAGAGATGAACGTGTCCATGGAGATAATGACAGACTTGACTGAAGTGTGTAGGTAAGATTAATCATTAGGAATTTTAAGAGGCTGTAAGCAATGAAGAATTGTTTCAAAAGTGAATCAGTAATATTATTCAATTCAGACAGTTAACTTGATAACATCTAGCCCTAAAAAAAAGAAAATATATTTCTACAGGGTAGCTTAAAAGGGATAAGCTGTGCGATCTCAGGCAACTTTTTTATGGCGCATTTCCACGTACGGTGGGGCCAGTTGGGCCCTCCATAAGGCTTGACCTCTAGCGAGTCTCTAGGCTTCATCCCCAGCTGTGAGGCCCTGTCAGGGTAAAATTCTGACAAGCGACATGGCTTTGAGACATTGACATTGACAAAAGACACATAGATGGCTTGAAACTGCGACAGCAACAGAGAAAAACGCAAATACAACAGTAAAATACCAAAGGTGACTTGGCTTCCTCCTCAATATGCCAAATGACTGGTTTTGAAATTCTGACCAGGGGCATACATAAACCCCACTAAGAGGACCTGAGCTGTGGGTGTCTTATGGTGACCACAATTTTCCCTGTCTTGGAGCTTGACCCAAAGGTTCCAGGGTCGTTGTTTAAATTGGCTGATAAAAGCCCAAAAAGTGCTCCCAGCCTTGAGGTTTGGAGAATCTCAGGTGCTGTGATAGTGCTGGATTCATGGTGGGTGTTGGGGGGGGGGAAAGGGGAGTTCTAGGGGGTAAGGTTAATGCAAGTTTATAAAGAATACATTGAAATTAAATACAAATTATTCCCCATGAAAGGTTCTATGTTCACCAGAAATGACATGTACTGATCTGTAAATGGTGGAAAATGATTAGCTGTAAGGCGGTAGGGAAAAATTTTAAATGGTGCACAAGTTTGGATTCCTCCAATAAAAAAATTATAGGAACTGCCCCGGTTTAAGATCTCTGTTGTGCCCATTCAGTGGCATTTTCACAAACCAGTTTATTTTTAGATTGATTCTCCCACAAACTTTGTCTATCAAATAATTCTTCCTTTGTTCAAATTATCTAGTGTTCTTCCTCTTAATCTTTTTTAGTTTAAAACAATCTGCGTTATTTTGCACAATGTGTTCAATAATGGAACACCTCCAAAGGTTTCCAACTTATTTACGTATTTTTCAAAAATTCATCATCATAAAACATGATTTTCTGTGGCTGGCAATTTCTACCTTAAGCAATTGAGAACAGACCATAATATGAAGAATTGGTGCAAAGACATGGAATAGATATGGAATATTGTTCCCGACAGTGATCATGCTCTACCTAAATATATATTTAAGAATACCCTACCGAGTTGGCTACTGGACATTTTATGTTGACGTGCGTACTTTAATTGACATATTTAGTAAATATTAAATTTCCAGGTTAATTTCATTCATACATTGTTTTATGTACCTATAAATTTGAAATGTGTATGTACTCACTGTCTTGTTAATTCAATATGGTGATGTTCCTGTATCTGTCTTCTTTATTGTTATGCTTGAAGTTCTTCTCCCTGTTATTGTAATTTTTTTTTACTTTTCCTTCCCACCTTGACTAGCTAGGCTATTTTGCGGGCAAGGATCAATTGGTATGATATGTATCCAAAGTGTTTTAATAAACTTGAACTTAAACTTGAACTTCATACAAATCAGGCAGCAAAAACTGGAGACAAGGAAACAGCATTTCTGGTGGTTTCATGGCATCCCCTTTTTTGTTATTTATTGTACTGTGGATATGCACACATACAGGACAGTGTTTCCATTTTTGTGGGGTAAAGGTCTCCAAAATGATGCTGAAAATAACTGATCTGTGTACACGCTGTTGCATGGGCTAAGTATGGTAGTTGCTTGCACCAGGTTATGGGATCCTGCTGACATTCAAGTCAGCTAAACTCTTTTCAGTCTGATGCACCAGTCAAAAGCAGTTTTTTATATGCAGCTATATATACATCTGGAGACTGAGCCCAGACCTTTTCCTGTCCAGCTCTCTCTCCTCTTCCCTCCCTTCAATCCAACTTTGGAGCAGTATTAGCATTTTTTTACTGGTAATTTAATACCCAAGAAAATTGTTGACAGTCATTCTCCATGTTGTCACAAGGCTTACTAGTATCTGTACATAGCTTTTTGGACTCAGAGTCACACTTCAGTTTTCTTAGTTTTCCATTGATACTGGACACACTGCAACCTTGATATATAATGAAGGACATAGGGTCAGGCAAAATTTTTTCCCCACATTGAGGGTTGCTATGACAGAAGTGAGAATATTATTACCAAGGACTTCGTTATAGTTATAGAGGTTTCTTATATCAAGTTTCCACTGTTGTAGTTCAATCTAGCATTCCTTTAAAGCTATCAGTCTTATAATAAGGTACATGTATGGTTCATATACTGACTCTTCTATTTTTCCTTCCTTTTTTTCTTCCATTTTTTTCCCTTTTATTTGGACAAGTCCAAGCAACTTAAAGGTATTTACCAGTAATGTCAAGGCTGTCACTAAGGGCCGGGGACCAGGGATTTTCCTTGCCTATCATAAGCATGATCCCTGACTTAACTTCTAAGGGAGACAAAGGGGGAAAACAATTCCCTGCCAACTAATTACACCAACCTGGCAACTTGAAATCTTAGTGACAGCCCTGAAAGACAATGTAATGTATTTTTAATAGAATCATGTAATTGGATCTGATGTCCGTTTTTCAACCAGTGACTCATGGAGAAGGGATTTACACAGTGATTATGTTTTTAATAAAAAGTTATGCCTGGACAAGCTAAAAGCTTAGCATTTTTAAAAATAATGTGGTACCAGATTAAGTTTGCGGATGTTTGTTAGTCTCTTGTTTTCTTTTGTCTGAGCTTTATTAGATTTTGCAAGACAAGTATTTCCTTTTTCACAAGCAAAAAGATGGCAGTATGACAGTTTGGAAGGAGAATCTTTAAGTTTATCTGACGTTAACTGTGGCTTTTATCTGGGTACCTCTTTAATTCATTTGCACATCATGACTGTTTTTTTTTTTTTTTTTTTGGTATCAAAAAATATCATGATTGATAAAGCTGCATTTCCTTTGCTTTTTAAGGGGAAAGTAATGAATTAAAATCCATATGTCATGATTTCATCAATTAAGTGAACAGAATTTACCTGTAAGTAACTTTAAATGCACTAATTTAGGGTGATATTTTCTGTTTTCTAGTGTGCTGCTGAACCAGAAAGTCTAGAATCTATTGATATCTTTAAAGACCAGATTCCTGAAGGAGTTGAACTTCATTCACTGAGGTAAGATACTCTTCACTATGGATAAAAACCAATTTTTTGCCCTCCCTGTTTGCATGAAATATCAAATGTGGAATCTTTACAAGGCTGTGAAGTGCATCTAGCTATTTTTGCACCATATTTTTTTGCTTAGGTTGCATTCCTTTTAGCCAATCAAAATCTGGATTTTGCAATCGAAACTTCGATCTTTTGTTCCATAAGGACCAAACCAATCTAAGATTGCAATCCGAACGATCTACCTCTGAGCATGGATCGTTCAGATCGGTGTCTCAATACGGATGGGCTTATCTACGGAAGGAAATTTGCGTTTCAAAATCGATTTGGCTAGCCTTATAGTTGGAAGTAAATTCACCTTTTTTGCTTTGTTTTACTTTGCATTTGAGGGCAATTTTCCAAGTACAAGCCCCCCGGGGGGCTTATATTTGGAGGGGTGATTTAACGGAGGGTTTTTTACGTTACGAGTTTGGGGAGCTTATATTTGGAGGGGCTTATACACGGAGGGACTTATTTTCGGAATTTTACGTATTTAACTCAAGTTCCACTGTCACTCTAAATACGTTAGGAAGTGAAAACACTTAGATTTTCTCACTGTAAAACTATACTGTCCATTGTCTGTTTGTGTTAAGAACGTGCTTCTCAGCGCTTAAGAATTCGTAATTGTCTTCTGAATTTTGTTGAATCAAATTCCAGATAATGTTACGTTGATGAGTTCCAGTATGAACCACCACTAGTTAAAGAGCTAATTTTCTTTCCGTTTCTCCACGAGAAGATGCTTTTAGCAGAAAGAAGTAAAACAGGATGCGTTGAGATTGATCGGAACTGCAGGCTGCTGCTGTATGGATCAATCTCATTTCAGATTTTTGTTCCGGCTAGCACGAAAATCCAAATAATCTGGATTGTCCAAATCCGAAAAAAGTTTGGCTAAAAGGAATGTAACCTTAAAGAATATAAAAGGATATTGCCTGTAATAAATTCACCATTGCTTTGTGACTTTACAGGCTGCTTAAAGAGAGGAAAGGAAAACTCACCTCACACAAGAAAGAAGTGAATTATATAGTAAAAGTATGTTTCTTTTTAACTGACATTTTAAAGTTGATTATCAGGTTTATGACTGTGTGTTTGTAACTGTCTTTGATAGAAGCGTACCTGTGTGCAGCACGAAATCGTTATACATAAAAATGTTTTACACTGAGCAGGATATGATGGCACCAAACATAAGTAGACTGAAAGGAAAGGTCATTATTTTTCTGAAATGCACAATGATCAATTAATCCAGAAAAAGCACTATGTAGAGAGTGCAACCAAAAATAGGCAAAGCAACCACCATGGGACTTAATGGGATGTAAAGCTTTGACTGTGACTAAAGAACTTATTATTGTGACATGTCTAAATTATATACAGGAAGTAGCACCAACAAAGGAGCCCTTAGCATTTGAAGAGGTTAAAACAGATGAAGTGATCTTGTCAGTTGCTATTTATCATCCAAGAAAGGTTAGTATGTTAATCACTCTGTAAGACCTTTTATCATATGGCTGAGTCTGCGAGGGAGTGGGCAAGATGAAGTGAATCCTGCATTCTGATTGGCCACACAAGCGGGCAAGCTGTGCCCATCTTGCTCACTCAGGAATTCCCGCCTTGGTCCCAGGACATCAAGTAAAGAGATAAAAGCATGTAATGTTAATTTTGTTTCACATGTATTACTTTTTTGTTGGTAGAGGTGCCTCTGTTCTTGTTGTTTTCAAAATTTCTAATAATTTTTTCTAATATTATTTTTTTTCTCATCCTTGACCAGCAAAACAAGGTTCAAGAATTTCTCGTGTTAGGCAGTCAGGTAAATGCTTTGTATGATTTTGATTGAAAGACTCTTCATCATATCTACATTTATTTGTCCAAGCCTTAAAAATTGCAGATTTATGGTTTTATTTTTATTTATTTATTTTCTTTGGAAAACAGGCCATTTTCAAGTTGCTCTGAACCTGTGTCATAGTAAAGTAAGTGCAAAGCCTTTTATAAGAACAAATTAATAAATTCATGTTCATGAGAAAGGTTTTGTGCTTAGCCTTATTTTGAATTAAGGGGGGTTAGGGAATTTGATAAAGGCCTATTTTTTACTTACTGTTTTAAGAAAGAGGGGCGATCATTAATTGCTTATTAATAATAACTGAAAAAATCCTGATTTTAATTAATCTACATGTAATCTTCATCCAATTGTTTTAATTTTGTTGCCAGTGCCTTACAGAATTACGTGACAAGATTTTCTGTACAGCTGATGGAATGATACTTGGAGATCACAGTGAAAATCCCGATGCCCTTTCACAGCCAACAGCTAAGGTGTGTATGTTACAATCATCAGGTGACACCCGTAATAGCATGTAGGTGATGGCATAGGCCACAGGCCAAGTGCAAACAGCCTACTCTGTTGTAGAGTTTTCAGAGCTGGGGATTATGGTAGGGGAACACAAAATGAATGTGCTGACTTTGACTATCCATAACTTACAAGTGGTACAACAAAAACTGGCTTTTTCTTGTTGCAAGAAACTGTTAACCTTATGGGCGTGACGTAAAAAAAATATGAAAACAAAGAAGTCAGCTCAACAGAACCTAGGAAAACAAAAGATGCAAAACAAAGAAAAAGTTCACTGGTCCTTAGTCTTACACCGAGGTAAACCCTAAAAAATCGTCAAATTTCGTCACTTTTCTTGTAATTTATCAAAAAACATTAATTTCCCCATGTGAACGATTTACTGGTACTTATTGTGATTGAGAGGGAAAATAATATCCAAAGCTTACTGGAGCATTTTCTCTTCCAGCTTTATTTCGCAGAATAAAATTCGGTGCATGTTACTTTTGGTTGAGTCATTGTTGACTCCATGAGTGCACGCTCAGAAGTAATCCCCATATAAATCGAACACTTGTTTATAGGCTACCGTAAAATTCCGAAAATAAGCCCCTCCATGTATAAGCACCTCCAAATATAAGCCCCCCAAACCAGTAACGCAAAAACCCTACGTTAAATCGCCCCTCCAAATATAAGCCTCCCAGGGGCTTGTACTTGGAAAATTGCCCTCAAATACAAAGTAAAACAAAGCAAAAACGGTAAATTTACTTCCAACTATAAGGCTGGCCCAATCGATTTTGAAACGCAAATAAGCCCCTCCGAATATAAGCCCCGGGGCTTATTTTCCGAATTTTACGGTATTTCCCTCATGATTATACAGGCCTTTATCTTCCCTGCAAGCAGAGATATCTCAAGGCAAGCCATAAATAAGAGGAAAGAGAGAGAGAGACCTCTGCCAACCCCTGATGCGTTTTCTATCACGCAAGTACTGGCATTTTACTAAGGTTTTAGTCACGAGGGACAAAACGGAGCAACCCGGTTCTCTCGATAGCGAGTGTGGGCTCAGAAATTCCAGCATGAAGTCTCAACAGGCCACGCGCATTTCACGTTAAACGAAACCGATCTTGAAAAGTAGTAAGTTTCGAAAATGTGGTCAGCGACTACATGAAAGAGCGCCTCAGGGGCCGGCAGATTTTTCTCTTTTTCCTATCATTTTTCTCTCGCTGTGAGAGACCTCCTGCTAGGAGGGAAAGGTTTATAAAGTTTTACATCAAAGACCTTATTTCTCGTTGCTTGGTAATAACATTGCAGGAAAATTTCAAATCTGGATTCTTCTTCATTGAAGGGGTATTCTATAATGATAGAAGAGATCCATTGTCAAGGGATTACAGCAAGTAAGTAAGATAAGAAGTCGTGATCCTTGTTTCCTTAACCGCACATCACCTTGTTATTACACTGCATGTGATAATGCTATCCGTGATTTTCTCCAAAATAAAGTTAAGGACGTTTTTATTTTACTCTATAAGAGTTATTAGAGACTGGGCAAAAGACCCTCAGCGAAGAAAGTGTCCGGGACTTGGATTATTCACTAGTAAACGAATGGAAGATGTGGTGTTTGAAGACCTGAAGATCAGGCTGGGTTATCCATATTTATACTGTCATCAAGGAAATTGTGAACATCTTATTATTTTTACTGATTTGAGGTAAGTTTTATCAAAGACATTTAAACATTTTCCCTTTACGAGAACGTACATAAACGTCTATGCAGGACTTTTAAATCCTTTGTAGCCTGAAAAAGTGTGTAAATAAACAAGAAAATTTGATGTTATGAATTTTAGACGTGACTCTTTTTTTCAGAAAATTCCAATTTCCTAGAGTTACTAGTTACTCCTTTAAACTCAGACTCTGTCAGTCCAGTTAAATCTCCTATTCTCTCTCTATTTTCTCACGGGAATACAAATGACAGCTCACTGTCATGCGAATTCTGTTCAATTCCGTTTGTTCGTTGATCTTTTTCTGTGTTTTTGCCCTTTCGATATTCGATCTTTTGCTCACTCGCTTGCGCGTACGTTAGTTCTTTTTAAGGTAAGGTAAAACGGGCAACAAAAAACGTGCAACTTGTTTTGCCACACATCTGCAAAACGAGTTGGAAAGCTATGCAATGTTGCCCGTTTTACCACCCTTAAATGAAACCTGATTTGTTGCGAGACAGGTTTGGACGTGGGTGGTAAAATGCGCAACATCCCTTTCCAACTCGTTTTGCAGTAATGTTACAAAACAAGTTGCACGCTTTTGTTGCCCGTTTAACTGTATCTTTAGATCTTTCACTGGCTATGGCCCTTTTTTTGATTGTTAGACCAGGGGTCCAGTTATTTTTCTCAGTGGCAGATGCTAGTAGAACGAGAGTAATACGCGGACTCGCGTAAAAATTGGCGCGCGCGAGGTGAAAGGACACTAAGGTGACGCCTTCAACGAATGAGTGGCGTCTTGTTTCATCTTCGATTTTTGTCTTCAGGCTGTTGGATGTAGATGACGAAAGAAACGCAAATGAATACCCATTGCAGGTATTTAAACACCGTGGAAAAAGGCTGAGATGCCGCGTTTGTGACGTCTATACTGCAAGGTACTTGTTTAAAATACTATTGTTGCAAAGAGACCTTTGCGCTGTTTTTTTTTAACTTTTCTCGTGGATTAGGTGGAGAAAATCTGTCGATAACTGTGAAAAATGCGCCTTAAATTCATTCAAGTTGCCGAGTTTGACAGTGATGTCAGTGTTGAAAACAAACGAAATAATAGCGAAGATTTACAGTCTTTTGCATTTTGAGTGACAAGTTTGTGCCATACAAATTACGCCTGTAAAATTTCGTGAAAATGGGAGCCCGGTCTTCGGGTCTTGGCCGAGTTGGTGCCTTAGCTTGTTCATGGGATTACCGGAAAGGTTTATTCAGTATTTTCACATTGATCACAATGCACCTTGTACTTCCAAAAAAAAAAAAAAAAAAAAAAAAAAAAAAAAATTTGCCATCGTCTTCGAGTTGTCTTGGGACGACTGTAACACCCAGGAGAAAATCGGAAACAATGCTTATGCAAAATTTTGGTGGATAAACAGGTTGCATAATGGTCTATATGAAAATGGTGAATTCTCATTTTCTAACAAGGGAAGGGTGTTCAAAATGTGTAGTTAATAAATTGATACCACTGGTTTCCCCGTCAAATGGCGTCTGAGAAACGACCGCAGAAATTCCATACTGATGACGTGTCACTACCCTGATCTGGGTAGTGCGCTTCTGATAGGTTGAAAATTTGCTTCACCCAATCAGAGGCACTAACCAGATCACGCTAGTTAGACGTCATCAGTGTGGAATTTCTGCGTTCGTTTCTCAGACTAGAAACAGTTTTTTTGTTAGAGGTTAACATAGATGAAATAATTATGCAAAAATGGCGACACGATGAAACGTATACGTCGTTCGATTTTATCCGCGTTTATACTACTACATGAAAAATTTCTGCAATCTGATTGGCTTAGAGCAGTGGTATTTCAGCTTAATTTGAGATACCTACATGTGAAAATTACAAAACCTTTGCGAGTAGTAGTATCAACAAATAATAGCATGATTTGTACGTGATATTTGGCATAAATACCACTCGTGATATTTCAAAATTGTCTCAAATTTCCCTCGCCTAAAGGCTCGTGAAATTACGTATAACAATTTTGAAATATCACTTATGGTATTTATGCCAAATATTACTACAAATCGTACTATTACCTATACTAAGTTTACTTATACGCCACTTCCACATTTCCCATAATGCACCTTATTTGCCCCCCCAAAATTTTGCATAAGCGTTGTTTTCAATTTCTCTTGGGACGGCTGTAATACCCTGGAGAGATGAAAAACAAAGGTTATGCAAAAATTGGGCGGGGGGCGGGGGGGGGGCAAATAAGGTGCATTATGGGAAATGTGGAAGTGGCGTCAGATTCAAGCTGAGAATTTCTCAGAATAGAAATAAGCAGATAAAAACTCTCCAGAACAATTCTTATGGATAAAACTGGCGTGAAATGACTTATTTTTCAGTAGGAGTAATAAACAGTAAAGGACAATGAAGGGGGAAACTTGGTCACGTGGTACCGATTCACGTTTGCCGTTTGGGGTAAACTTGTATCTTAAAGGGGCTATGTCAGCTGTAGAGCATGCGCTCTTAGGTTATGCAAATTACTTTCAACTGTCAAAATTCTATTGTTTTTAACGCGTGACTTTCTCCATGTGCGCTCTGAGGTTATGCAAATTACTTTCAACTGTCAAAATTCCATTGTTTTTAACGCGTGACTTTCTTCATGTTCTCTGTCACGTCTAGTCCAAGGTTCCGAATTTAGAGAGGTTAACAAGCGAAATGGGTTTAGATAAGGGATATTTCGATAGAATTTATGGAACGTTTCTTCTCCGGTTATGCTAGATCAAGAATAAAATTGTGACGACAATTTTACTTGTAGTTTTGAAGTAAAAACGCATGCCATTCATAAAATAGAGCGCAAACAAAAATTCAACAACAACATATTGTCTTATTCAACAAAATAAATGGAAGTTGTATTTTACAAACGAGCTACAAAAGACGCTAGACCGAAGATAAAGACCAAGACTGTTTCAAATCATTAACAATTAGACTTGTTTGTCGCTATTGATTTTATAATTTAGATGCTGATAGAACAAGAGACCAAGTCTTTGTTTTGATCTTAGGGAAACATACATTATCGCGCAAAATTGTTCGATCGTGCCGAATCACTGCGACGTCGAGAAAAACAGAACCCAGCATCATTGGTATACTACTCCACTATAAGCAGTCCGTTGATAAAGGGAAAGTAAACTCTGCTATTTTCCAAAATTATGCTCGAACACAAACAGTTCAAAAACATGGCATTTACAGGATCTAACTCGTACTAAGGTGCCTCTCTAAGTCCGTTGAGAACAATCTGGACGAGCAAACGGTCGTGTTTATCTTTGCCGTGAATCGAGATAAATACAAGAAGGAATCTAGCCGAATTTTAGAATGTTTCCTTCGCCAGGAGTTTAGTTTCGTCACGAAACTCATGGCCTGATGCTCTTGTAATCGTTTACAAAAAACGGCCGCCGCCAACTCGATAGCCGCTTCATTATATGTCCACATACTTTGAGTACAAGAAAAATCCAAGAGCCAGCAGCCTCTAAAATAACTCAATAGAAAGGTCCTGTGAACTATAGGGAAGATTCCATCAAAGATTCCATCACTCATTGTGGAGTAGCCGTCATTAACTCTGCCATTACAACGGCCGCTGATAAGAGGACACAGTAAATCCACGTAAAAACATTCCACAGGCAAACAATTTTAAAATAACGCCAAAAAATTGTTCTGTAATCACCATAGAACGATTCTTAATACAAAACTTCGCTAGCTATCGAGCGATGGCTGAGATTTAGACAGATAAAAACAGCCTTCCAAAATCTCCGACACAACTTGAAAAAGTTGGGCCGTCTTT